AMAGAGGGCGGGCAGAATTTACATCTGGTTGCTGGGTATGGGATGTCTTGCGGGGTCTGGCAGCATGGATCTCCCGGGAGACAGGTGCTTTCGGCTGTGCATGTGCAGTATCTGTCTAGAGAGCAGGGCTCTGGGCGGAGAGTGTCGCATGGACAGTCTTGACAGGTGCAAGCCGGGGCAGAGCAGCGAGGGATCTGATCCTGTTGGCCTTCAGGACCGCAATTTCTTGGTTGTTGCACTCCAGGAGAGCAGCAGTTTGGGTTCTGCTGCGGCGGCTCTGGGATCCAGTGGTGGCTTTCGGTGTTGCTACCATGTCCATGTCCGTGTCCGCATGGACAGGACGGTTTATCCTGGATATTTGGAGGACAGCATGGTCGACCAGGCGCACAGTGGTCGGAAGTCTGGAGGATGTATGATCCGGTACAGACGGGTCTGATTTTCTCTCCCTGGGCAAGACCAGTCCGAAGGGGTTTGCCGTGCCAGTACCAGGCATATGGCATAGAGGGTCTTTCTTGCTTCATCTTGGGGACAGCCAATGTGTTGTGGTGGAGAGATTTGCACTTTGGCTTAGGAGCATGCTTGAGATATATATACAGACTGGTACGGATATTGAGGAGATGGCCATTCTACGGAGTCTTTCAGCGACAGACAAACAGACAAACAGAGCGCCAAATCCTGATAGCCATCATTGACTGATGGTCGCTGCTAGACAAAGACTCTGTCATGAGGATAACCGGTGCCTGAGGCTTCATCATCAGACGCGGAGGTTGGTGATGGTGAGGCATGTTGGATGTATGACCGTTAAATGCCATCCACCTTGCCTTTCATACCTTGCATCCCTTCGCATCTGAGTAGAATGATGCCCCATAAATACACTCTTCCCCCTCCAAACCCTTTGTTCCAGCAAACAAACAAAATATTGCATCTTCATGGGAGCCCAGCCATCTTGAGACGTTCATACAGACAGAAATTAAAGGCGGCGTTTGACAGCACCAGTGGTGCGATGGACGTGGCTGTAGGGCAATGTAGGTTTGTCTGGAGCGGCTATGCCTACGCACCATGGGAAGTCGTTTACTCATGCCATACAGGATTACCCTGCCGATTCAAGGCTGGTGGATAGATAGCTGTAGCTTTGACGCTGATGTTCCTAAGATGAAATCTAATCAATCATAATCATCTATATCATATGACAAACTTACGAGTCAATTGTGATCTCACGCTTGTCCTACAGACACGTCTCCTCTCAATGTTTTCTAAGTGACTTGATGCTTCTGACCTAGGTAGGGAAAAGTAAGGTACCTGTAAGGCTGTTCCCATTCTTTGTGCGTTTGTGGATGCCCTGTATGGTAAAACCGCGTAAAGTGGCTGGCAGCGAAACCAGCCCAAGCCCCCAGACAGTTAGAAGGCCCGTATGATAATTCCACGCGCTGCCTGCCATTCGCCCGCCGCCTCGTCCATTTTTCACAGCCAGGAACTTCCACCTTGAGACTCTGCGACTTTAACTCGATCGTCCTGATCTTGACCTGGATCGTCTGCCCGTTTTTGCTCTATCCTCTTCCCCAAGGAATAAACAGTCTCCCTCATTTTAAAAAGAGAAAGGTTTGTGTCAACAGCTTTCTCAGATGTTGCCTCTAATGCATCTCGTTACAGCTTCTGCGGTCGGTTACTGATCTACTAGTCTTCTTCTAGCTACCTACTCTTTTGCTCTCGTGTCGTGCGTCGTTCACCCACGCAAACGTTCCCTTCAACTTTCCCAATCCGCCACCAGAACACACTGAGAACCAACTCTCTCACGCGATCGAGTTTTGTCTTGACTTGRCTCCTTCTTCTTCGCTGAACCGGTGATTTACCTTCATCAGTCAGCCATTGTTTCCATAATGCCTACGCCACTTCCTTCGAGTTTTGCTTCGGCCGCTGCTGGCAATACTCAGGACGCTTCCAGCAGGAGAGGTGACGGAACTGCCGGTGGAGAATGGTATGCAATCATGTCTTATGTCCTCTGAGCATTCGCTACCAATACACATTTTCATATGTTTTCCTTCTCTATCCCTCTCCCCGCGGACGTGTCCTTACCTAACCTGAAACTCTCTTTGACACTGATACCCTTGCTTTCCCAGGTCTCGAACTCGCATGAACGGAGCAACACAGACTTTCCGCCGTCCGTCAGTCGCAACGAATCCTTCTCAAACGCGAGACATTCCTCAAACTACATCTGCTACGCATCCGACGGTCGGTGCTTATACTCCCCCACACATGACCTCAAACCAATCCAGCGCACTCCGCAACGGGGCCGGGGAGAATCGTTATTCCAAAGAACAACTGTTGAGTCTCTACAAAGCTCAGCGTGAGTCGGGTGCTCTAGGCAAAAATGTTGCGGATTATTTTGTCGCCGACTGGAACCCTCACGTGGAGACTCCTCCCACCAACGGAGCATGGGGAAAGCGAGAGGATTCCAAGGATAATCCCTCGGGACCTGAGATTTGTTGGGATCACGGCGGACAGATTGAGCCTCTGGGCCTAGTGGATATGACTGATGATGAGAAAGAGGTTGGTCCTGTCTTTGTGTGCCCCCTTGGTTCTGAACACCTGAAGATCGCCCTTTGATCCATGTTGGAAGGTGCCGTGCTGAACAATGTAGTTATTTTCCGCTTCGGTCAACTCCCCGCTCAAGCCTCCGCCAACCAGTGCCACCAAGGAGAATACCGGTGCTGCCACTGGAGGACGCAAGTCATCCATTTCGTATCCTCAGAGCCACATGAACAACTACAACACCTCTTCCCCCAGCTCCGCGCGCCCTGGCCCTAGGCGTCGGGAGACCGGCGATTCTGTGAGTAACGCCATGTCTCCTACCACCAGTGGCTCCCGTTTCTTCCGCGACGAGCCGTCTACCGCAACCCCGCCTCCGTCTCTACTACGCCGCAAAACCGATTTCCGCGAGCCTTCGTCTACCTCCAAGTGGGATCAGAAGGATAAGGAAGCTCCTGCCCGTGATGGTAGCTCTGGAGAAGTGGCCTCTCCGTTCGGTTCTCTGAAACGGAGCGCTACCAATCCTACGGCTGCTGCGACTGGGGCACCAAGCTCTCCATGGGGCGCCGCTTCGCAAAGCGCTAGCTTCTCGCCGATGGGAGCCTTTGGAGCCTTCTCGCTGGGATCGAGCGCTTCTCAAACTCCGACCGCGGAGAAGAAACCGGGCTTTGGAAGCGTACGCGGGGAAAGTCGCCTTAAGGGCTTATTCTCCAAGGATAGCTCAGAGGATATTTCGGCCTCCATCAAGGAAAAGCCATCCCTCAGCAACTTGGAACGTTTGGCCGAAGACCAGGGGGAGAAACGCTCGCAGTCACCTTGGGGGGAAGCTGTCAAGACGCGCACTGGCCGCAGTGAGACCAACCCGTTTGCAGAGGAGACTCGCAGTGGAAGCGCTGCACTTGGAGGATCTCAGGACGCGAGCGCACCGTCTCAAACCGCCGACCAGCTAGGCTTCTCCGCCTTTGGAATGACATCCAGTATTCCGGGCTTCAGAGAGCTCATGCAGAGCCACGAGAATTCTCGCAACCCCACGCCGAGCTTACTCCAAGGCCAGGAGCCTACTAGCCCCACCAACACCAATCCTTACCAAAGCCCGCACGGCGAACGGATCGACGCTGACGATGTCGAGACTGACGGATCGGACATTCAAAACACCCATCACCCTGGTCTCTCGGGTCTTCGAGATACGTCCGGCCCATTTGGCTCGATGCGAAGAATAGGGTCGGGAATGGATTTGCCTTCCATTGACCGTAGCCAGACTTCCAGTGCCGCAGGCAATCGCAGCTTTTCCGGTCTCGGCGCTCTCGGCGGTCTTCCTACTCTTGGAGGCGCTTCGGCTTGGTCTTCTGGCGCTGTTGGGACTCCTACTCGAGAGAGGTCCGCCTTCTCTACCGGGTTCGGCGATCCCATCTTCGGCACCATGGCTGATCTCCAGTCGCCTAGTTTGTCAACCCTGGGAGGCGGTGGCATCTTCAGCCCTGGCATTACGGGCACCGGCAGCATTGGTCGCTCCAGCAAGCTAGGGTCTCTATTCCCCCCCGCAATGCAGGAGCAGATGCAAGGAGATCAGGTCAGACAAGGTGCTTTGGACGATGGTTCTCACCATCAAGGTAAGGTTTACCTATGCTATATATGAATTTTCCATACACTAACCTTTTTTTTTGAAGAAGTCTCACAAGCAGACAAAGCTGGTCAGCCGACGACAACCTCGACGTCCCAGACTCCTGTCTCTGCGATCGGTTCCGTTCCGGCCTCTATGGCTTCCGAAGCACCACAACCGAGTCAAACTCCCGGTCAGTCCGGAAGCAACGCTGGGTCTGTGCCTCCTGCTCAACAGCGGACCATGGTGATGCCCGATCGTATGCGCTGGATTTACCGGGATCCTCAGGGTAACATCCAGGGTCCATGGACCGGGCTGGAGATGCACGACTGGTTCAAGGCTGGCTTCTTCAGTCCCGATCTGCAGATCAAGAAGCTCGAAGATCCGGAGTTTGAACCATTGGCACAGCTGGTGCGACGCATTGGGAACTCGCGAGAACCATTCCTCGTACCTCAGATCGGAATCCCTCATGGACCCGACCCCAACACTGCTGCTCCTTGGACGGGAGCCACCACCGGTACCGCGCAGCCTCCCTTCCCTGGCAGTTTCCCGAGTTTTGGTACCACCTTGACCGCCGAGCAGCAGAACGCTCTGGAACGTAGGAAGCAAGAGGAACAGTATTTGATGGCCAGACAGAAGGAGCACCTCGCTCAGCAGCAGGCGATGATGAAGCAGATGCAGTTGCAAGGCACCGTCCATCCTGGCATCCCGCCCCAACTTCAGCATCATTCCAGCGCCCACAGTCTTCACAGCCAGCCTAGCTTTGGCAGCATTGCTTCGCCGATTGGATTCCAGCCATCTCCGATTCAGGGCCCAATGCAGCAGCAGCAGCCCCAGTCTGTGGCCGGTTTCTTCGATGCAGCAGCACCATTGAGACCGGGCCCGCAGATGGTCGGAACCGATCTGGTCAATAGCCCGCATCAACTTGCACCTCTCCTTGATCGCTTAAACATGAGTCGTCCGGACCCGTTCGCCTTTGGCAGCCCGTCGTCTTTTGCGGCTCGGCAGCCGGACAACCTCTTTCATTCCCAACAGGTAGTCACGATGTTGCAAGACCGTGCCCGGCTGCAGCAGGAACAAGAACAGTTTGACAGCGCTCAGGGAGATAGCCTTTTCGAGCAGCAGGCCCGCGAAGACCGGCTGCGTCAGTTTCATGCACTGAGAGCGCAGGAGGGCGATTTCGGCATGCAGAGTGCTGAGGGCCTTTCTTCCCACCATGCTGCCGAGACTTCCCAACAGCCGGAAATTGCACCCATTGGTTCTCCTCAGAAGACCGGTGCCAGCTCCGCTCTTGACCAGGGCACCGTTCCGGGCGAGGAAGCCCCGCTCACTCTGTCTCAACAAGTTCAGAAAGCTGCATCCGCTCA